CTGGAGAAGTGGTGTGGGGTTGTCCTCTCAGAGAGAGATAGAGACACTGAGGGCAAAGTCACATTGGGACTGCTGGACAGGAATAGAAGAGGGAGGGAAAGGGGTGTGGTGGGCAGGTTTAATAGGTGACAAGACAGGCTGCAGTTCAATCCTCCCCGGTCCGAGTAACGTTCCAGGCCCTACTAAAGGCCATGTGCAAACTTTCTCTCTACAGTAAACTCACTGAACCCGTTTCCTTCCAGTCCCTCTCTAACACACTTTAAGGGCTTGTGCTCAAAGGGGACTGCCTCGAAAAGCGTGGGCTATGGACTGTGCCTTCTCTGTAACAGGCAAGACACTGCTTCCGCTGTAAATCAAGTTTGCCACTGTGTAAAAGGTAGGAGCGGGGAGAGGGGGGACGACGACGACTATGAACTTGTGAGCGAGTGGGTGTCTCCTCTTCCCCTCCCTAAGCTATCAAACTCAGGAGTAAATCAATAGATGAATGGGGAAGGCCCCCTCAAGTGGTCTCTCCAAAGACAAACAAGCGATCGGTTGACTCACCAGTGCCAGGTTCACCAGAAAAAGAGCATGGAAAGGGGGTGGGGGACAAGCTGCTACCTGGGTTGAAGTTACTAGATTCGAGTAAGAGTCAGAATTAGAGATGGCCACCCACATCATCATTATCGCTACTAGGCTTCATGACACACACACAAACTCAATGACTTGCACCTGCAAACGCCAGCACAAACTTTTCACACATGCTCACCGGTAAAACAGTGGCATGCCCTTGACTGGACCAAGTGCTCATGAGCTCTAATATTTATTTGCAACATGACCGGAAAGTCATCCTTGCAGGCGAGCATCTCATCAGCCTGGAATCACGCTCCCACAAACACCCAGCTTGCCTGACACATAAAACAACACCTCTTCACACAGTCAGTCTTTTGGTGACCAGTCTTGGCCAGGGGTCCCTCAACACCAACTTGCTGCACTTCACAGTCGTGTCAAGGTTCGGTACAATGAAGTTAGTCAGTCAGTCCATTCACAACAGCGTGTCACTCTGCTACCGGTACCAAAAGAAACCTCAAACAGAGCTTTTCTCTCACCCCAAATTGAGAGGGAAAGAGAACTAGAGAGGGGGGTGTATAGGCCTACAACATGAAGCTATGGTATGGAGGGATGTACTGCACGCTCAAGTTGGTCTTTCAATATCTTGGCAAGCGAATGTATCACAACTGTGTATTCAGCAAAGCTTTTGACAAAATTAATGGGTCATTGTCACGTGCAGTCAAATGCTCTTATTGTGGTTCAGAATGCTAAACCACAATAAATGACATTGACCAAATCCATGGTAATCATCCATGCAACTTGGAAGTACAGCATTTACTGAGAATCATCCATTTTAATGCTCCAGATGTGTGAGGACATGCAACACCACAAGAAAGAATCATGACTCAGTAGCTTAGAGACAATGTCAAACTGCACCCAACCTTTCACCTAAAAACTAATGAGGGAATTATTTTTCTGGTTTACAAACATATGATGGATGTGGATGAGGGATACATTCATTAATATCAAAATACATCAAATTCTGATGGCATACAAATTATAACGACATATGCATTAACGTGTAATAACGGTTTCACTTTGGTGCAGTGGTAACAGTAAGAGAATGAAGCCAACATGGTAAGGACAGAGGAAAGTGAATCCATTTTGAACCGGCGTTTCTACTTCAGCAAGGGGCTTGTTCATAATGCTACATGGAAATGAAGGGTGTAGGCACCGAGATTTATCCAGGGTATGACTTTGCGACAAAGGTTATTCAAAATGGAAAATATACTCCAACAAATACACAATAACAGACTGCTTTTCACAGTCTTAGGTGGCAATTTCATCAGAAACGGCATGTCCCTCCCAATTCATACGCGTGTGAACGTATGAAGATCCAAGGGTTGTAATGTCATCCATATATTATGACATTCTTTAACGTAGCGGTTTTTCCTGAATCACCACGCACAGCCTTCGTCAGAGATTACAATACCCTTCTTCAATGTCTTCCTGTGAATTATAAAATGAAGTTTGCAGCGGATTTTGGGCATTCCCTTTAAAATATTTGCATTGCAGATAAAATTAGGCCGGAGTGATTAAGAATATGGCATCCATCATTCCTCAATTTTACCACAAGTAGGAACAGTGGCTATGTTATGCATTGAAAAGGGAGGATATCCCAGTCATACATCAAATCGTAATCAGTCCATGATGAGGCATGCTCATGGACAGTTTACAATGGCCAACACTGCCCATACAACATATTGAGACTACTGGCCTGGCCAGGGTTACTTTTGATAATCCTACTTCATTCCTACATTGCAGCTGAGAATGTGATTTCTAAAAGATGCAAAAGGGTAGTCTGAACTAGGCAGTTTTCCATCATGGCGAATCACAACCAACGCTGATGATCTACATTGCAAGGCATCACTACGGGGGAAATGTACCTACTAGATAGATTGTCCACAACGTGTACAAATCGATAAAATGTTACAAGCCAAGTGAATGTCCTGTACAATTAACTAGCACCATTGTGATTGAAAATGGCATCTTGATGCTGAGGTTGGAGGACATGGGAGTGTACGGAAGGTGCTTTTTGTATGGATGTCAGTTTATCATCATGGTCTTCTTCACACACAAAACGACTGATGACAAAAATGGCATCTGTACAACAAATGAGTTAAAACCCAGTGAGTGAATAAACTAAGCTTCTCTCTTACCTCAGGCGGCGGTTCGTTTCCAGCTTCCCGGGGCAGCCATTATCAGTATTCCCTCTCTCCCTCCGTCCTAGCCTCCACCACAGGTACCGGGCAGAATAAGAACCGGTAAACCAATCCCCCCCCCCACCCCCCACCCCCACCCCCAAACTGTCACCCCTCTGATGGGTGAGATATCCTAATAACGAGAGGGTAGTGTCGTTTTTGCAATAAATTCCCGTCAAAACTTGGGTCTTCAGTGAAGGTTAGTCTCCAAAACGCAGTCCAGCAAGAGCGCAAGATCAACTCGGAGGTTCGGCGCGGTCCGCCCGGCGCAGTGCAAGCTAGCTAATTGAGCAGTTCACAGGTAACAGATGTGGTACCGCTTGGGGTAGCATGGCGATGGCTAGGTTGTCATCCAAAATACACCTTATTTGTCTTCTTATCTCCCCATTGATTGTTGATTCTTTCGTGGCCTCTGTTTCACTCAAAAAACCTTGTAGCAAGCTGGCAAACGTTGGGTTTATTTTAGCTACTGAGTCTGGGAGGCTAGCTAGCTAGCTGGCTAACTAGCTAGCTTTCACTGTAACAGTTAGTACTACTATCCAACTACGTGTTGTGGTGGGTGGAGGGGATGCGAGGAGTGTTTAAATAAAAAATAAACGATTCAAATAAAATTGGGGTATTTCCGTTGCACCGCTATAACTAGCGATGTGCATTCGCAAGGGACCCCCCCTCTCTGGCCGTTAATCTCGATCACTCCACAGACAGCACTAGCAATGGCTTCGACTAGGGTCTGCACGAAAAGCGCGCCCCCGACACGAAGCTCGTTCCCGCTTGATTGAGTTGCATTCCCCCTACAAAATGGCCGCCAAAACAAACCCAACGACAGTCAGAAGCTACTGTCCTTGGTGCGGAATTAAACATCACATGGATAGCCTGTTCATAATCTAACACAGCGGTAATACATTTTTATGCAAACTGCCTCGGCATTAAAACGGTCGAAATTAGGTTTTAGGGTGAGTTAGCTAGTAAGGTAGGTAGCTAGCCAACGTTGCTAGTTAGCAAGCTCGTGCATGTTGCCTCAACGGCAAACCTTGACTGTTAACACCTTAGCGAACGAACTAGCTAAATGAGTACATTTAGATTCACGGACATGCTGTTACATATGTTTAGCTATTTAAAATCATCTTAATACTGGTAAATTAGAAACCTCAATTCATTACATTTAGCAGACGCTCTTATCCAGAGCGACTTACAGTTAGTGAGTGCATACATTCATGCATTCTGTGCTTGAAAATCGCATAAGCGTTATCTAATGTTAGCTAGCTAACGCGTTGGGTAAATTACCGTTAACTAACGTTAGGCCTGCTAAGGGTCGCAATTTTCTGAGGGACTGTCATACTACCGGCACCTAGTTAACACCAGTTTGTCAATCATAATATCGCATCAGCTAACCATCAATCATGTTCAAATTACCCGCCTCATTAGCGCGTTTTGACGATAACCACTGCCCAATCTGTATGCACGTTCACTCACTTAAAATGGCGGCGGTCACCACCAGGGATGAAAATAATAATCTTTGTCTTTAGTCGCGCGAGTTCACATAATCGGTGCTGTTTTAGTACTAGCAGCTAGTCACCAACAGTTAAACGGTCATTTGGTAACGGTGAACACAATTTGGCCACGATGTGTACCCGCCCCCCTTTAACTTTCGTCATTAGTCAAAAGCGCGTTCACATGAAGTTAATCCATATCAAACTACACTGAAGAAAATATCAACGCTACATTAAACAATTTTACCGAGTTACAGTTCATATAAATTAGTCAATCTATGGATTTCACATGACTGTAGGGGCGCAGCCATGGGTGTCCCTGGGAGGGCATAGGCCCACCCACTAGAGAGCCAGGCCCAGCTAATCAGAATGAGTTTTTCCCCCAAAAATGTGCTTTATTACAGACAGGAATACTCAACACCCCACACTTCCACAGGTGAAGAAGGTCCTGGGCTGGCGTGGGTACACGTGGTCTGCGGTTGAGGCTGGTTGGATGTACTGCCAAATTCCCTAAAACACTGAGGCGGCTTATGGTAGAGAAATTACCAATATAAAACTGGCAACAGCTCTGGTGCACATTCCTGCAGTCAACATGCTAATTGCACGCTCCCCGAACTTGCATTTATGTTTTTGTTCAGTATAGTTGAGTGACCATATCTTATGTCATGACAACATATTGTTCCTCTGACCAGGTCTAAAAATGCAGGACTAAATCAAATATACAATCACACTGTTTTAATAAAAAAAAGTCAAGGTACAATATCACATTTAAGTCAAACATACACATGGGTGTAAGTCAGTCTTGTTTTAACATCAAGCAAGAACATTATACATCTGACTTTGTGACTCAAGGATAAACTGAAATAGTTGCTCTTTAAAAGCAGATTACAAATTAATGTGAATATTAAACAAAACTAAAAGTTAAATCAATATATCAGGCTTTCCCTCTGTACAGTACTTTACATGGCACTACAGAGTTAATTAGGGAAGTGAATTCCACCCCAACACCCTCTCCCCAGACAAAGACAGTTATGTACTTCTAAAGCGACAGACAAGCAACCGTCCGAGTTCTGGAGACAGGCATACTAAAATGGACAGTTCAGATATGGGTGTAAGCATGTTGGGGTCCAATCAGTGCCTCGCTAAATCCCGGTGCTGAGCAGTTCCCCCTCGTGGCAGAGGTGGGTCCACAGAAAAAGTCACTATGCCACAGCGAAGGGCCAGTTCACTTCTTAATCTTGGGGGCAGGTCTGTAAGAAATAATATTTGATAAATTCAAAAGAAAACATTCCGTAAAAGCTTTGAAATGAACTTGATGCCAAAACTCAGATGTATAGAGATGAATTTAAACCAAAATCTGCACTTTAAACCATTTCAAAAGCGAGTTTTTTTTCTTTTTCTTCAATAGTGACCAGGGGCGTGCAACTAGTTGTCCATCACAGAAAATACATTAGTGCAACCCATTCGGCAGAAAATAGCTTCATTCGTCAGATTGGCTAGCACCCACACAAGTAAATGTGCTTACAATGAAAAAGCAAGGTATTTTTTTGCAAAAACAATGCATGGCCATCATATTTCTAATGGTTATCATAGAAAGAATGTAGCCAGCTACATTTCCTAATGCTTTGCTTCAAGTTAATCTTGCATTTTACAGAGAAAGTAGCTACACATCAGTCAGAACACTGTAAAATATTTTTTTACGTGACCCGTGTATATTTATAAACAAGCATTTCCTCACCTGTAGATTCCTACTACGATGGCGTGATCTCTCTCATAAGGCTCCAGTGTCAGCTGCTCCTGGGGCTTCATGTTTTCTGAGCCCATCTTCTTCACCTCCGCAGCAAATACAGCCTCCGGTGCTGCCGTTGAATCAATGCAGTTTGCCTGGAGGGAGACGAGACAAATTTACTTTAATCCCACTGCACCTGAAACACGGCCCTCAGTAACAGTAATCTAGGTTGCTCCTAAAATCAAAAGCTTTGCAGTTCAATGTCTAATATCTTAGTTTGACTGCTTAAGAATAGTATTCCCGAAGATAGCACCACTAACTCTGAATAACACAGCTTCTTGCACAGTCTGTGTTTTACCTTGATTGAGATGACAAAATGCCCTCCGTTCTTGAGGAAGTTGTGAGCGTTGAGTGCAACAATTCTGGTCTGATCAGGCTGGGCCACATCAGCGAAGATGACATCTACCATGCCTGCACAGAGGGTTCAGCCAGAGTTAGTAAAACATCCATAAACCACCAGCCTTTTTGCATCAGTGTATGATTTTGATGACTTACCAACAAGCATGCGGTATTTGTGTGGATGCCGGGCGTCCTCAATGATGGGAATGATGTTGGTTCTCTTTTTGGCAACATTGAGCAGATCACGTCCTGACCTGTGAGAGAACTCTACAGCATACACAAGACCCTCCTGCAAAACAGAGAGGAAAAGTCTGTCATTACATGTACAGGGGTCAAAGGAATGAAGGTCCACACTTCATTGTGATAAACGTTTTAATAGTTCTAAACAAGATTATGTGGGAAAAATATACTCACAGGTCCAACGATGTCTGACACGTGGGACACTGTCGTCCCTGATGCGGCTCCCAGGTACATGACCTTCGAGCCAGGTTTGATGTGGATCTGGTCAACTCCTCCCAAGATGGCTGCTGCCAGCTTTGACCGGAAAGGATTCCACGCTCTGTACTCAATCTTTGTTTCCCCTTCCTCGACATTCATCCTTTTTTCTCCATACACAGACTCTCCAATCACCATGTTCTTTGTCACCAGGGCATCTTCCTTACCACGGCAGATGAACACTCCTGAGGGTGGGAAAAAAAGGACTTATGAAATTACAACACTCCGATACATTGGGAAGTTTAAGAAAATAAATAAGAAATTGTGCATAGAGTGGGTGCTGCTGAACAATACAAACAATAGTGCAACTACAGGCCTCTGCTGGAGACAGCTTGTATTGCACAGCTCCCCGACGTTTCCACTCACCCTCATGTCTATGAGGCTCCACTGTGACTTTCCTGCCCGCCCCAAAGCCCCCACGTCCACCTCTACCCCTGGGGGTGCCACGACCACCTCCACGGCCTCTGAAGCCACCCTCGCCACTTGGAGACCTAAATCCACCTCCTGTAACAGGCAAATAACACTTAATGTCCAGTTCTTGCCCAAATTTTAATACATGGCAGTTGCAAGAAATTTCATGTGTTAAGTCACGAGGTTGACTTGACTTCGAAAATGTGATAAGAATGCTTGTCAGTCAGGTACACTTACACAAGACGGAACGAGCATGCATCTATAAGCTTAAAAACATGTCAAATAAAATCTAGCTATGTTTGACTTACCACCACCTCTGCCTCTGAAACCTCCTCGTCCGCCTCTATCGCCAAAACCTCCCCGTCCACCACCTCTGTCTCCAAAGCTCCCTCTTCCTCTGAAGCCTCCTCGATCACCACCCCGAGGGCTGAATCCTAAAAGAAAGAAGGAAGATTGTGAAAATTGAGATTGACATTCAAATCTGTATGCTGCCAGGGCCTGGTGTAAACAAATGAATGAGATGCTTCGGATTGATGGTGTATGTTATAGTGTAGATTACTTATAGAATCATAGATCCCAACAACTAATGCATGCTTATTTATTTGTCTTACAGACATGATAGCTGTAAGTAGTTTAGTGACTAAATACATGTTCATTTCACCACCTGTGATGATTTGATACCCTAATAGCGGATTTAAGGGGTACAACAAAGAACTTGGAAATTGAATGGAACAGAATATTCCATTTTTTTTTTATGTCTCGGTGTTAGTTTGTCTGCTAACTAGAAGACTGCATTTGAGCTCGAGGGCTGTAACCCAAAGATAATGGGTAAACAGCATGACATTGCCGTGCATGAATCTAGCTAATGCAATTTTCTAGTTAGTTAGTAACCTACTTACCAATCCTAGCAGGTTGAAAGTACATGTGCCAATAACGTTTGACCTATATTTGGCTAGGCAATCAAAAATAAATCAAAATGGCACGTTTTCAGGCTAAATAACAAGAATACTTGTGTTGTGTGCGAACACTAGTTACCTAGATTGCTAGCTAGCTACTCGCGTATGAGCTCGCGAGGAACACGTGTTTAGTTTTCGTGCCATGCGGGCTGCACCATTGCGGTAATGTGCGTTAAATCACAGCATAAGCAAAGACAGTCCAAACACTGTAATATTAATGATAATTAGTGAAATTGAACACAAACACGTCGTACTTGTAACTGAATAGTTAGCTACATGCACTATTTACTTTTCGTCCAAGTTGTGTGAGAGAAATCATGGCTACTGCTCACAACACCAGGCCGGAAGATTAAACAATTTCACACATATTTGGCCTTCATAATAGTAAGACTTTGACGGGCATTTAAATTATGTATCCCCGTTTACTCAATTGATCAAATAAACTTACCTGGTCTCATATTTGCTTTCAATCTAAAACAGCTCGAGCTTGCTTTACCCGGGTTTCTCTTCTTCTTCTTCTTCTTCTTCTTCTTCTGAACACGCAGCACACATTACCTACCAATGTGGCCATGCGTCATCAGACTCCTCCTTCCCATGATACACCACGGTCTGGACGCTTGTAATTGCATTTTTTGTCGCCACCTAGCTTGGATGTCCGTAAATACACCCCAGTCGTTTTTGCTCATCTTTATCAACGGTGTCAATAATTTCGGACTTTCTAGTCTTGAGGCCAACACTGTAGAGGTAAAAATACTGCCTGCAGTCCTGACGGATCATAAAGTAATATGGCTGACTGTACAAATGTGCAGTAATGATGATACGAAATACTCTGATGGTTATTGGAAATTGAATAACTCATTGTTATTGCATGATGATTTAAAAAATCTGATTAAGAATCTAATTTCTGTTTACTGGAATTTAGCTACCTCTAATGCAGAATATGGGAAATATTGGGAACTGCTGAAATTTAAAATCCGCTCAGCCTGTATTAATGAGAAAGCTAAATTGAATGATTTACAGAATCAACTAGATACATTTTATGAGGAAAAGGCTAGAGGGGCCTTCATAAGATCCAGAAAACAATAGCTTGAAAAAGGCGAAAAGAACAGTAGATACTTTTTTTATTTGGAAAAGAGGAGAGGGGAACTCAACACACTTCGGAAACGTACGATTAATGGGGTAACCTCTGAGGATAGAGAGTTGTTATCAGACTTTACCACTAAGTTTTGTGAGAATCTTTACTCCTTAGATAACAGTTTGAGATCTAAGGATCTCCTTGATTCTATAGAGAATGTTAACACGGTTAGTGAAGAATTCAATCGGTCTTGTTGTCAAGATTGATCCATTATGGACATCCAATATGGGGTTGCTCAATTAAAAAATAACTAATCTCCAGGTTGTGATGGATTAACCTCTGAATTTTACAAAATCTTCTCTGAAGAAATAGCACAATTTTTACTTGAAACCTTTAAGGAGGCTATAAACAAGGGAGAACTACCTGCCTCTCTGAAGCATGGGGTTATTACTCTTATACCTAAACCACACAAGGATCTCTTAATTATTGATAATTGACGTCCAATCACACTCCTAAATAACAAATACAAAATTATAGCCTCAAACTTTGCGAAAAGGTTAAAGTCGTGCTTGAATGATCTGATTGATGAATGTCAATCAGGGTTTATGAAAGGGTGTCATATATCTAATAATCTGAGGCTGGTGTTAGATTTGGTTGAGTATTGTGATCTAATGGATGTTATCTTATTTTTTGGGATTTTCAGAAAGCATTTGATACCGTAAGTCACAATTTTATCTTTGATTGTCTTAAGCATTTGAAATTTGGTAATTTTTTTGTTGATGCAATTAGAACTCTGTATAATGGTAGTAATAGCTGAATAAAACTCTGTCATGGAACATCATCAAGGTTTAACATTTACAAAGGAATACGACAAGGTTGTCCAATCTCACCTTTTTTATTTTTGTTAGTATCTCAAACATTATCCTCATTAGTTTATCAATGTCAATTTGAAGGCATTACATTCCAGGCCAGAGAGATCAAGATATCCCAACTGGCACCTCACTTTTTTGAAAAAATTTGTCACAAGCTAGATTGGCATTGGCTATTGTGAAGCAGTTCTCCCAAATCTCAGGTTTGGTATTAAATCTTTCCAAATGTGAGATGTTTGTTCTGAAAGGAGCTGTCAATCCAGCAGATGGTAAAATCTCTGAAAAAGATACTGTAACCAACCTCGGTGTAAAGATCACCAAAAATCATAAGGCTGTGAATGATCTTAATTTGAATCCTGTAACTGAATCTATCAAAAATAAATAAATTATCCTCATAGTTAGGGAGGGATTTAAGTCTTCAAGGTAGGGTGCTTTTATCCAAAGCTGAGGGGCTATCTCGTGCATCCTATCTTTTTTCATCTATTGACATTCCCAAATCCACTTGCTGTACCTTAGATAGGCTATTGAACAACTTCATATGGAAAAACAAGCCACATAAGATAAAAAGAGCCGTTATCACCAACAGGGTTTGTGATGGCGGTCTAAATGTCTTAGACTTCACTCTCTTTAATCAGATATCAAAAGTCAACTGTTTTTCAGAAGCTCGGAGGGCTTAATTTTTTACTACAATGTTCCTACATTATGGGTAAACTTCCTGTGAAATTGGCGGCTTTTCACAAGCAGGCTTTAATGTGCTGGTACACGTCAACTATGACAGACAAAATGAGAAGAAAAAAAATCCAGAATATCACATTGTAGGATTTTTAATGAATTTATTTGCAAATTATGGTGGAAAATAAGTATTTGGTCACCTACATCAAGCAAGATTTCTGGCTCTCACAGACCTGTAACTTCTTCTTTAAGAGGCTCCTCTGTCCTCCACTCGTTACCTGTATTAATGGCACCTGTTTGAACTTGTTATCAGTATAAAAGACACCTGTCCACAACCTCAAACAGTCACACTCCAAACTCCACTATGGCCAAGACCAAAGAGCTGTCAAAGGACACCAGAAACAAAATTGTAGACCTGCACCAGGCTGGGAAGACTGAATCTGCAATAGGTAAGCAGCTTGGTTTGAAGAAATCAACTGTGGGAGCAATTATTAGGAAATGGAAGACATACAAGACCACTGATAATCTCCCTCGATCTGGGGCTCCACGGGGTCAAAATGATCACAAGAACGGTGAGCAAAAATCCCAGAACAACACGGGGGGACCTAGTGAATGACCTGCAGAGAGCTGGGACCAAAGTAACAAAGCCTACCATCAGTAACACACTACGCCACCAGGGACTCAAATCCTGCAGTGCGAGACGTGTCCCCCTGCTTAAGCCAGTACATGTCCAGGCCTGTCTGAAGTTTGCTAGAGTGCATTTGAATGATCCAGAAGAGGATTGGGAGAATGTCAGATGAAACCAAAATATTACTTTTTGGTAAAAACTCAACTCGTCGTGTTTGGAGGACAAAGAATGCTGAGTTGCATCCAAAGAACACCATACCTACTGTGAAGCATGGGGGTGGAAACATCATGCTTTGGGGCTGTTTTTCTGCAAAGGGACCAGGACGACTGATCCGTGTAAAGGAAAGAATGAATGGGGCCATGTATCGTGAGATTTTGAGTGAAAACCTCCTTCCATCAGCAAGGGCATTGAAGATGAAACGTGGCTGGGTCTTTCAGCATGACAATGATCCCAAACACACCGCCCGGGCAACGAAGGAGTGGCTTCGTAAGAAGCATTTCAAGGTCCTGGAGTGGCCTAGCCAGTCTCCAGATCTCAACCCCATATAAAATCTTTGGAGGGAGTTGAGTCCGTGTTGCCCAGCAACAGCCCCAAAACATCACTGCTCTAGAGGAGATCTGCATGGAGTAATGGGCCAAAATACCAGCAACAGTGTGTGAAAACCTTGTGAAGACTTACAGAAAACGTTTGACCTGTGTCATTGCCAACAAAGGGTATATAACAAAGTATTGAGAAACTTTTGTTATTGACCAAATACTTATTTTCCACCATAATTTGCAAATAAATTCATTAAAAATCCTACAATGTGATTTTCTGGAAAAAAAAATCTCATTTTGTCTGTCATAGTTGACGTGTACCTATGATGAAAATTACAGGCCTCTCTCATCTTTTTAAGTGGGAGAACTTGCACAATTGGTGGCTGACTAAATACTTTTTTTCCCCACTGTAGTGAGGTGTTCTGGACTGATGTGAAACTATATCTTGGCAACAAAATGCATACAACCATTGAAATATCTAAGTTTGACATATTATTTTACTACACTGATTCCACAATTGAACGTCAGTATGTCATAAATCTCTTTATTTTATTAGGAAAAAAATGTCATACACAAATCAAAATGTATGAAGAAAAAGGCCATTAAAAAATATATACATCTGATTTGGTAAACTATTTAGAATCTTTAAAACGTATGCGAAACAAAATGTCTAAAAAATGTATTTGCTACATGTCTGTATTTGATTTGATATAATGTGGATTTGTATTATTATTATTAATATATATATATTTTTTCTCTCTTCCTTATTTCTTTGTGTAATCCCTCTGGCTGTTCTGTTTTTTGTGTTTTGCATGTTACTGTTTAAATATATTTTTAATAATATATATATTTTTTTAATTAACAAAAAATATATAAAAATGTGGATGCCAAGGGAAGCCAGGCTTCCCAAAAATGTGACCAAGAAAAAATGACAAAAAAAGAAAATAATCTTTCTTCTCTCAGTGTTTCATAATTTTCCTTCAATTCACAAGAGGCTGGCTGAATGTATCTCACCGGAGAAAGCGTCAGAGCGAGCGAAACAGCGCGTCTCTCTACGTGTAGGCCACCTATCTGATGCTGTCTGGTCCAAACGAGTATGACATTGTTGCCGCCTGTAGCATTGATTGCAAGGGAAGCCAGCGAGCATTTGGCCTCCCTTGATAAAAGAAAGTTGAAAAAATTACCCAATCAGCGTTGAGCTAAACTGTGAGCTCAACTGTGATTGGTCCTGGTGCACCAAAAAAAAGTGTCAAGGGAAGCCAGCTTGGATTTTGGTGTCACGCCTATCAAATCACATTGAGAGCATACAGTACAAAAAAATAAATATATAAAATGCATAAGAAATATCTTGCTGCGTTTTGTATACGCAGATCTAATATGCTTCTTATTGTAATTTTTGGAAGTGAAGGATGAGAGTTCACAGACGGGCATTCTATCAGAAGACAGCGCTCTAACTGGTGTGTAGCAACTTTTCTCAGGTACTTTTCTCGGTGTAGCCTACGTTTCTCCAGTAAAATGCCAGATTAACTTCAAACAAAACATTAGGAAATGTAGCTGGCTACATTCTTTCTATGATAAACATTAGAAATATGATGGCCATGCATAGTTTTTGCAACAAAGAAAACCTGCTTTTCATTGAAAGCTCATTTACTTGTTGCTTTTAGCAAAATAGCGTTGCACTTCTGTTGTCATCTGATGAAAATGAAACTATTTTCTGCCGAATGTGTTGAACTAATGTATGTTTTAAA